CAAACATGTTTTGCCAGTGAATATGTGACATAGCACAGAAGCACAGGACAGTAATAAAATCCCAGAGAAATCTGAAATTTCGAGTGTTATGAAAGCCACTGAAAGACAGTTGAACCTTCCACAAGGTCCCCCTTTACTTTAACAGTTGCCAACACTGAAATAAATGTCAATGCAACTTAATGTTAGAAACAACTATTGCTCTGAGGAACTTGAATGTTTTACTTGCAAATTTTTTAAATATCAAATGATTGAGAAAATCATTGGCAGATGATGTAAAAGCTACTACTTTGTCTATGTGATGATTGTTTTGTGTGACTGATTGACCTTACCTTTTGGTCCCTCTGGTGTTTTTCATTTTGTCTAATTAAAACATGTCACATTTAAGATATGTATAAGGAATTGGGTATGCATATTTGTCCCCTCAACACTTCTTCTTCTTTTAGCCAGCAGGTCAACCCGACAACCCCAGGTATTTCTGTAGAAAAGCCCCCGAGAAAAAATCTGATTTAATTTTTACAGAGAATTAGGGCTGCACAATTAATCAAATGATCAAAATCGCAATATGGCCAAGTCCAATATGCAAATCGCAGAAGCAATATGTAAATCGCAAGAGCTGTAATGTTCTGATAAAGGTAAAATGTGTGACAAATCAGCATTATAATGAAGTACTGTAGTGCTGCCGAGGTGCCTTGGTCTACAAATCTTGTTCTCCACATTTAAGAAAACATGTTTGTTTGTACAGACCCCCAAAAATTTCATCATGATACAGGAAATGACGTTTTATTTTCTTTTATGAAAATTTAATTTGTGATGGAGACAATGATGAATGATGATTCCCACATAATCGTGAATCACAGTCGCAATATCTGTCAGTATGATGTTTTTAGTGCAGCCCTACAGAGAATATGTAGTCTGAAATGATCCTGTCTATAAATATACCTGATTATAAATGGATGCACGCATCCACAGGAATAGCCTGTTGGTATTTCCTCTTTTCTTTGTGGGTGTTAAAAGAAGGAATTTCCAGGAAAGAAGGCCATTTTACTTGACTCAGTTTTGCCTTTGTATTATCTGCGCTGTGGAGGTTAATGCCAGAGTATACACCAGTGGTTCTCAAGCTTTTTCTGTCATGCCCCCCCCTCCCCTCCTGTAAACAGATTTAATGTTTATCAGTCTTCTACATTATTGGAGCAACTACTGGTAAAAAAAAAAAAAAAAAAGTTGAATTTAAATAGATTAGGTTAGCAAGATAGCCTTGCTAGCATCCCATTGTTTACTGTCCTCACACAAACCAGAGTCAACTTTAATTTCACTCCACATTTTCCACCTGGTCATCCATGCACCCCTACAAAGGGGGGCTCGTCTCCCAGTTTGAGAACTACTGGTATACACCATACTATTCTATTAATCACTGTATGTTACCTCAGGTAAGCAAAGTAAATTGGCTCGCAGTTCTTCAGCAAAGCCACCACATAATGCACTCTTTTGTTTTTTCTTTGCTTTCTGCAGGGCTCCAGAGGTACGGGGAAAGTACACAGTTTTGGAAAGAGGGATCATGCTATTAAAAGAAACCTCAATATCCCAGTGGTGGTGAGAGGCTGGCTGTATAAACAGGTGAGCTGGGGTCCCTATGCTCTTATTGTGAGTCTGAAAGAAAGACCCTCACACATCTACACTGTGGAATATCAGTCACATAATCAGATATTACCCTCCTTGCAGAAAGTGAGATTCCTCACTGTACAACAGCTGTAACTATGTGGAGTATAGCAGAAGTATGATAAACATAAAGGTTTACGTCATGGTCTGTGTCTTTTTAATACCTGTTAACAATCATTCTGTATAGAATCTGATGTTCTTCTAACTGTGAGCTTTACAAAATAAACGCTCAGACTGCCCTTACAAAACCCTTTTAATCTGGACTTGAGTGTCTCATGCGATCATAATCCAAAAAAGTATAACACAAAAAGACACCAAGTAAACCCAGAGTTAGAGACCAACAGTAATGAGGTAAATGAGTCGGCAGCTTTGTGCCAAATGCTGCAAGAAAAAAGTACATTTAGATTAAATTAAATTATTGACACACACACACACACACACACACACACACACACACACTTACTTGCTGCTAATGAGCACTATATTCCCAAACTACGCTTTTTAATTAAAATTTTGATTAAAATGTGTTCCTGCAAGGAGGATTTCTAAATACGCTGTATATTGCGTTTCCCCCTTCACCTCCAGGACAGCTCTGGAATGCGACTGTGGAAACGGAAGTGGTTTGTTTTGTCAGACTACTGCTTGTTTTACTACAAAGGTGAGTCTATGAAAAGTGCTCTCGGACAGGGTTTAATATTAATAATTAAAATGGTCTTGATTGTTAAATCAGACATATAAACCTTCGGTGATGTCCTCTGAGGGATAGATGCATTTCTTGATTAATGACAGTCTATAAATAGATGTATGAAATATCTTGCCATCTCTTACTCTCACTGGATTTGTCTTCCTCCCACTTCTTCCTTATTAACTTGAGTATTTTATTATGGGATGTAATCTGTGCTTGTGTTGCTGGAGCATCTACCTCCTTTCCTCCATTAATCACACTGAATAATAGATAAGCCACATGTCACCTTGTGCCACATGCTACCACATGGCCTCGTCCAGACAAGAGTCACCTATGAATTATGCCTCACTAATTTTCCTTCTGTTCATAAATCTACATTCACTCGTAAACATCGTAAAAAAAAATATCCTGGCAGAATTAAAGTTTGTTGTTTTGGGTGCCCATAACAGTAACTGTGTGTGTTGTGTGTGGTTGCTTCACAGATAGCCGAGAGGAGACGGTGCTTGGTAGCATCCCTCTGCCCAGTTATGTCATTGCACCAGTTGAGCCTGATGACCACATAAACCGCAAATATGCTTTCAAGGTAACACTGAGGTGGCACTGAATCAGATCTATAAAAGAAGTTATCACATCCATGTGTAGCCAGTGAAATTCATTCACGACTTGTAATTTTTCTTTGTTACATCACTATTTGGAAGCACTCCTCACATGCTGGTTTCCCCTACTGTGGTCTCTGTAACACAGGAAGCCTTGTTGGGTACTCCCTGCTGCCTTGATCTCATTTTCATCTCTCCTTTATGTCTTTTCCCCCTTTTTTGTTTAAGGCTGTCTGTGATTTACTATTGGGGTTGGGTATTGAACTTCAGTAACTAGTTCAACCAAAACAGGTCTATAGCACAGAGCATCAAAAACAGTGAAGTATCCAAAGTTGGAATCAGGTCATACCTTTGTTTACTTGATTGACTGATTTAAAGTATAACATTTATCTCTATAGAATTATATATTTAATTTATGCAAATAAGGGCTGCTTGTAATACAATATGAAAAATAAAACACAGATGTGTTTGAGAGGTTTGAATTATTTTGTTATATAAAGGAGTTTGTAGAAAAACAAATAATCAAAGTAAATCTTTTTTTTACACTGTTACTCAGAAAATGTCAAGTTATGAGTCGTGCAGTGGCTGCAGGACAACCCTTGTATGTATTGTGATGATCTGTTCATATTAGCATTTCAGATAAAGCAGACTTGTGCCTGGTCTGATTTTATTCACCTACTGTGAGCAGTGGCTGTATTTTGGGAGCTCTACCACTGTGCTGGAGAGGCTGCAGCAGCCTGTCCACAGTGCGATTGCTCTGTTCTCTCAATGAAATCTGAATGGCACATAACTCGCTTGTTGTACTATACCTAATAGAACCAGCTGGCATTTGGTTATAGTGTCGTTTTTATCTGAAAGTGTGTGATAGAACTTTTCCTTGCATGCGGCAAAATCTTTTTCCCTTTCCCTTCTGTGAATTCTGCCAGAGGACAGCAAAAGGAATTATGCCGTTTGGTTACAGCAAGAGTGTTAACATTATCTAGCTCCTCCTTTGTGGAAACACAGAGCTTGTTGCAAAGAACAATAGTGCCTGAATGTTTGATGCACCACTGCAGCTTCAGGGCATTCTGTTGCAATCATTTCAGCTCCTTTGTACTTTGGCTTTTGTTCTTGGATTCTGTGTATATATGTGTGTGAGAACATGTCTGTGTGAGTATGAATCGGTGTGCTTGTGTGGTACGTATCTTTTTAAAGATCATACTACATACAATGGAATTTGTGTGATAATTGTGCAGCTGGGAATATTAATTATACATTCAGCCTATTCACCGTCTCCTCCCACCACTTGCTGGGGAGTGTGTGTAAGGCTAGATGTAATGAGGCTCTGCTGTGCCTCCCTGTATTTAAGAGATCTCTATTCCCCTCAGCTCTCTCTGAGCCATCATGCATTAAAGAGCAAGAGATTTCATTACGTGTATCTGAGGTGCTTTGGAAATTTCAGTTACTGCTAAGTAAGCATGACAACAGCTCAGTAGATGTCTGGTGTTGTTCAACAATGGGATGTTTCAGACTGTTAGAGCTATTTACATGGACAGTAAATTACAGACTGATAATGAGTTGAAATAATGGACTAGAATTGGTGACACTAGAGTCCTTCTCAAAATCAATTAGCACTTGAATGGAGAACATATAAGAATACAGATTGTGCTAGTCAGTACAGCACTTCTCTGAAATATTTATACTTAAGAGTTTTTTACTTTCCTTGAAGCAGTGCAGGTTGTGCCGCGATGCCACGAGGATGTGTCTGATTATAAAGAACCAAAACACTCTTGATGCTGCCACTGTTACTCATTCTTGCTTCTGTGATGACTGCCATGAGATGACAGCTGGAGCCATTTCTGTTCTTTCTTATTGAGTCAGCACTGATCTGCTGTAACTTCCTGTTGTTTTCTGTTCTCTTATTTTCGCTCATCTCACTGTGTTTCTCTCATTCCCTGTTGGTCAATTGCCTCCCATTGTGACCCGGTGTGTGTGCGCGGGCGGAGTGAGTACTGTTCTCTGCGGGGCGGCCGTCCTGAATCACACAGGCTTCCTGTCTTGCATGAATAGGTATTTGATTTCACTTGAGCCTCATCAGTGGACCGCCATCCTCAGCTCATTTTGTTTCATATCATGCTAGTAGCTGCTGAATGCACATTTCTAAATGTGCATCAAATTCTTATCATGTACAGGCATGACTACAGTCATCAGTGGACAATGCCAGAGCTCATAGCGGCGCCATTAGTTTTATTAATCAACATTGTTGTGAATTTTTTTAAGAAAAAAAGAGCATTTGCTTTACGTGTACAGCGCAGTCCATCAGTATATGGGCGGTGACACATTTGTTATTATTTTGGCACTGTACTCCAGCAAATTGCATCTGAAATGAAACAGAATATAACACATTCAGTGCAGGACTCATATAGTGCCTCATTTCGTGGAAAGTGTGAGAGAACAACGGTTACTCATTTAATCAATTTAATATACGTCTATGCTCAGTGGCTCTGGTATTTGTCTTGTCAAGCCGCATATCACCTATCACATTGTCATCATCATTGGAGTGGTGGGACAACAGGGTTTTCTACACTCTTTGCTGATTTCATTGCATTTCTTTGGATGTTTGTTGCCATCAGAAATATGCCCCCTGCTGTACATACATTAATTTTATATTGTTTTACAATAGAAATTACTATATAATCTGTTAACTTGTTTCTCTACATCTGTTTTGAAGCAGGTCCTTTGGGTTTACTTTGCAGTGTTCGTCTTCTCACATATTGCCTAAAGATTAAATACATTTTAGTAGAATGATTGCATTCAGTTAACAGTCTTCCTAACTGATAAATCGTGGTGGTGATTCGATGGTAAGGCTTTTGTTAAAACTTAGACTCTGAAGAATGTAAGCTAGTGAAGATGTCAAAGACTGTTTACAGTTTATTCCCTCAGAAGTTTAAAAAACACACTGGCAGTGTGCAGTTGTGATATTAATTGTGACCAGTTACAATAAAATACTAATAGAAGTCTGTTTATTTAGTATTGATTATGGAGCTATACAGTATGATTAAACATTACTAACTAATCATTTGCACTGACTGTATATTGATAAGATCAGTGTAACATAGTTTGCAGATCTAAAATGAGAAGGTATCTGTATGATTGTGAAGGAAGAGAGTAATGAAACTGTGCAAAATGGTGCTGAATGCTCCTTTACTGGGCTTTAACTAGTTGTCTGCATCAGAATTAGGTTTTAAGCTATTAGGACTGATTTACACCACCAGGAAGAAAAACAAAAGGTGAGCTAATGTTTATTATCTGTGGTTATGTGTATGTGTATCCTGACTAAAGGGGATGACAGATGCCCATAATTGCCTTTTTGTTGCTACTGTATGGTTGTTTGCTGAAGTTGCTGTCTTAATTTCTGTGTGCTGAAGAGATTGTATATGTTTTGCTGAAGCTTTTTTGAAAAGCAGTTGTTAAATAAAACCTGTGTTGTGCTTTTTTGTGGCCAGAAACAGCACAATGTTCACGTTGTTTCTGCTGCAGCACTTTGCTCCCACCCTGTTCTTTTTTTTCCCAGTAAAATGTTGCTGTAAACTTTGTCCTGACTGAGTTGACGGCTGTCAGTCTCAGTAAACAAGAAAGCAAAGTTTTTCTACTCATCAGCCTCCCTGGCAGCTTTTTCCTGTCTTCAGTAAGATGTTCTCACATCCATCCTCTCTCTCTCCCTCCTGATGTCTCTCTCTTTGATAGGCGAGCCATACAGGAATGCGCTCCTACATTTACAATAAGAACTCTGTGATTGGCTCACAGGCAGAACACTGCGGGATGCGGACATATTTCTTCAGTGCGGACACGCAGGAGGACATGAATGGCTGGATCCGGGCCATGAACCAGGCTGCGCTGATGCAGCAGAGTCACACTATAAAGAGGTTGGTCTCACTTTACAGAGTAGGATTCACTTCTCCCATTGGTTGGGCTTCAACTACCAACATCTCTTCCTCCATAAAGCACAGTAGTCTCTGTGAACTGGATATTTCCTGAGATGATGTCTAAAGGGATCCTGGGTGTCTCAGTATTCAACAAAATAGTACTTTTTTTGGTCAGTGTTTCTAGTATATTATTTGTTTGTTTTAAGGCATCAACCTCAGAGTTGAACTGTAGTGTTGAACTGATTTAATCAGTTTCATAACTGAAATTTGCTCCTGCTCCTTTTTCCTGCCTACATGGGCTTTATTTTAACGGCATGAGCAGTGTTCCACAGCAGGTTCAACCCTGTCCTTCTGTTCTGGAGCACTGATATGTCTGCAGTTTTTGTATGTGTGTGTGTGTGTGTGTGTGTGTGTGTGTGTGTGTGTGTGTGTGTGTGTGTGTGTGTGTGTGTGTGTGTGTGTGTGTGTGTGTGTGTGTAATGCATCTGGGTCTGATAGATGAGGCTTATTGCAGACCATTGCTGAGCAGAGGCCACACAAAATAGATGCTCTACAGTAGAATGTGTTTCTACAGCAGTAAATCTTTTTTTTATTCACAATCAATGGCAGAAATAGTCTGCAGTAAAATCTGTGACTACTGTATCCCTGTTAAATTCATTAGAAACTGCATGTATCTGAGATTAGCTGGATGTACTGCATGGTTTGAATGGTCTGTGCAGTAATGCCACCTAGAGGCCACCTAGAGTCAGTACTCCTGAATTTTTTATTTTGCAAAGTTTCACATTTGAATATCCTTGAAATCAAATCAATTCATCATATGAAAAAAGAAGAAAATTCTTTAACTTAATATTCCTACCTTCATATTTTACCTTTTAGGAATTATTTACACTGAAATTAGCAAGGTTTAAGTGTATGCATGTAAAACGAGCAATAACGATTGCTGTAGCATGCACACACATATTAAGGCTGAATCCTTACTGTAGCGGCCTGGCTTCAAATCCAGCCCCCAGCAATTTGCTCCATGTCACCACCTCTCTCTCCCCGCCTTTCCTGTCACTATCCAAAAAAAGCAGTCAATAACAGTTTGAAAATTAGGCTTTTTAAATCATGTCTTATTCCTTTAAGTGGGAAAATAATGAATATAATGTTAAACCTTATGAATTGAAACTGGTACCATTTGAACACATTAAGAAGAGTGGCATGCTACCCCAAGCTATTTGATGAAGACAAAGTGCGTCCTTTCTGTTCCCTGGGGATTCGCTCTGCTTGCTTTCTCCAGCAATGGCTCTACTCTCCTTTTCTCCTCTCCATATAAAAACGTACAGATGGAAAGTCATTGAAAAAATTAGCTTTAGGGCCACTAAAGGTTAATTCCATTGTGTGGTTTTATCCAGTGTGTATTGCTGTGTAATCCCTTGTTACAAGAATAGTGCTGCACTTCATCATAATATACGATATAAGAGGAGACATTTGAATATGGTTAAAGTAATTATGAGTGTAGCCATGTGTAATAGTTAGATAAAGTAACACTTGAGAGTCTTACTTTTGTAAGAAATTTGTATCATTTACAGGCAGGATTAACTTTTGTTGAAATATTCAATCATCCTGTCTTACTTTTTCACAGAGAGGTGGAGAAGCCAAAGAAAGCTGTGCAGCAGGCAGTTCCACAGGCCAACCATGTCCACATCAATCAGAACTCATCTCAGACAGAGAGCCTTCGCAGGACAGACAGAGAGGAACCACAAGATAATGGTATCCAACTGGCTCATGGCGACGAGGTGAGGTATGCATTAGAAATCCTAGGGAGGCCCAGCCAGTCAGCCACAGAGGAAAGAGCAGAGAGACTGTCTCCAGAGTTTGTCGATGGCGCCGCCCAGAAGAACGGACAGCAAACTGTAATCCAAGTGGCTCTGCCACCAGAACAGAATGGAAACCTAGTCTATCAGAGGGGCTTTGTGTCACGGGCAGACCCTGAGAAACATGTGCAGAGGAAGAATACACTGGCTCAGGTGGAGCAGTGGGTCAAAGTGCATAAAGGGGACCCACCGAAGAGGTCAGTTTGTCTTTAAACAGTCAGTCTGAATTGACCAATATTTCTCTAACAAAAACCTTGAGTAAATGCCTCCCTCTAGTGGCTAATATGAGGACTTGTTTATTTCAGTTGCTCCGTGAGATAAGAGGATAAAGAAATAATTCTCATTGTGGACAAATAATATGAAATTCTTTATATCAAATTAAAATACTTGTGTCTTTTTGTCTCAGTGCTCCTTCTGCTGAGTATAACCTCCCTCGGCGGACTCCTCCCTTAAAGCCCAAAGCCAGCACAGCGGATGCCACCTATCAATCGTTGCCAAAGTCTCCCCGTCTCCCATCTGGCAGCAACTCTCCTCCAGCAACATGCAACCTGCCTAGTGACTACAAGTACGCCCATGACCGGCTCAGCCACTTCCGCATGTCCACAGATGAGCGTACGGCCACCAAGGAGGGGATGGTATGGCAGCTGTACGAGTGGCAGCAGCGGCAGCAGTTCCGTCATGGCAGCCCCACCGCTCCGATATACACTGGCCCCAACTTCACTGACTCTTCATCTTTTAGAGTTACTGTGGAGATGCCACGTTCCATCTCCGTTCCTCCGTCCCCATGTGAAGTCCCACCGTCAGTCCCCTCTTCCTTCAAACCACTGTCCCCTCGCAGGCCTCACACTCCCTCAGACAGACGCACAGTCAGGCCCCTGGATGAAGTGACACCTGGGGACAGCACACGATCCAGCTCCCCCGGCCATATTTGTGCCCAACTGTCTCAGGTAGGACACTTACACAGGGAGAGGAAGCACCTTTGACATTTTTAGTAAGAGTTGACTATTTAGATGACAATTTACTTCATCATTGCAGTACAAAATAAAAAATTATTACTTTTTTCCCAATCAAACTTTGAAATGGAGACTAGTAAATCTAGTTCTAAATAGATTCAGAGTGCTCAAATACTATGCAATATAGGGTCCTACATACACATAGAAATGTTGTATTCCAAGAATAATATTAATGAATAATTTTATATTAATCCCTTTGATATTTCATGTCAGCTTTAGATGTTAAGTTGGAATCATTATGTATTGTAGCCTAGGTTAGTAAACATACGGCCTACGGAATAAGTTATTCATGTAGAGCAGTACTCATTATAAAACTAAAAAATGCTAATATTGTTGTACTGATTAACTTGATCTTAAGTCAGTTTGAAGAAAAAAATAAAGGATAATGCTAGTCTTATTTTATCAGTTAATAAGTAACATAAAAATACCAAAACCAACGATGTATTTGTTCATCTAGCCTCAGACTGATAACAGTGTGTAGAACATTGTCATCCAAAGATTATTAAAACATGTTGAATACTGATAGCATTGCAAAAATACAATTGTTTTTATTGAAGCCAGTTTATTATGGCCAGTAGGGGTGCAGAAGATTTATCCTGAAAAATTGGGATTTTGGTGGGCTATCATGGTTAACCCTAGGGCTCACATTTCTTCAGTGTGTTGACCCGTGGATGCCCTTAAACTGGCAAAGCGGAGCAGTGATTCGCAAAGGGCACAAGTAGGTTTGTTCCCAATGTGTTTATCATACTGCTATCACACTCATGATAAGACTGGTTGGAGTGAATTACCCCCTCCATAGATGTGTAGATAATGGATGGAGGGATTGTCCACCCTTGATGAATTTATGTGCTTTAACACTGTATTCCTGGCACAAATTGGTGTCAGCAGCCTGTCATTGGCATGGGACTGAAGTAAAGTTTGATGATTCACATGTAGTGAGCCAAATGACAAAGGTCTCATTCTCACGGTAGTTTTGGATAGTGAGGTATCTATTGACTTGAAGGATGTTGTGAGCTCACAAGGACACCATGGGAAGATTAGCAGGAGGAGCATGAGAAGGCTCCGGCTTCTCAGCGCACGCACTTTGATGCTCATGTGAATCATTTGCAGATTCACACAGTCCACACCCAGGCCCACTCCACAGGTGGTGTGAGCATGTGTGAGTGAAAGCTTGCTACTCCGCCGTTCCCCAAACTGTCGTAGCACTCAGACAGCACCACCACCGCCGCAGGAGACGGAGCGAGGGGCCGTCCTGTCATCCACACCCTGTGCTGTCTGCCCACCACACCCTCCACATGTGAAAACATCTCCCTCCAAACCATCACCACATTTGCCAACACACACAGGACTCATAACCAACCCGTTGGCCTTACACAAGTAAACAAAGTGTCGCAGATGCTCTGTTTCCTCTATCATTCACCCGAGTGTCAAGACACTAATTATAACGATAAAATAGAATGACGCACAATTATGGAAAACCCTTTAGAAGAAGATACATTTTTAACAAAGGGAGCCACAGTGAGTTTGCAAGACGATCCAAGGGAGCGATGTTTTATGGGAACTAAATTTAGTCTGCAATGAACTTAAGTTTTGGTGCACCCAGCATCTTTGAGGCTGATGGTGCTCTCTGGCTGGAGTGTGCTGAAGTAATAGCGATCTGTATACCTCTGTGGAATATCATTAAGGAGTATGTTTTATTAGCAGCTAATCCAATTTGCCCAGGGCTCCTCGGCACCCTATAAACATCTCTACTCTATCTCAAACATCAGCAGCGGTCTCTTTCTTCTGATCTTGCATTTAAATAAAAAACCTATTATACAGCAAAAAATAGTGGCATGGGAATCTCAAAGGGAATGGCTTACAGTGCTTCTCTTGCTGGTAGCAAACAAATGTTATTTTAAGAAAGCAGGTTTAGTATAATTTATGTGTAGTTAATTAAATCTCTTGTTGTTTGTGTCCTTTTAGGGTTCTGTAGTGGGCCTGGTTTTCGCTAATTCTGTGTGTTAAGCAAAAACGTCAGATTTTCCAAGCCCTGTAGCGTCTAAAACTCAGGGCACACCTTGTTTCAAATAAGAGTAGGAGTGATGAAAGGGAGAAAAGGATAGATGAAAAAAATAAATCTGCTGTGTAGTCAAATTTGTTTGCAGTCTTGGAGGCTATGGTTCAACTTTGATTCAGTGTGATAGAGTGGTCTATCTCTCACTTTCAACACTCTATTGAAGATTATTTAATGAATTACACATTCTGTTTGATTTGACTCTATTAGATCTGTAATAACAAGTGTTGAACTTTGTTTCTCTGCAGACTTCCCAAATAGAGAGAAGGTCCATGCCAGCCATGGGCTACATCACACACACTGTCAGTGCACCCAGCTTGCATGGCAAAACGGTATGATCCTCTTTATTGCATTCACTACATTACATGGTTTCATTGTTAACGATATCTATCATAGTGTATAACATAGTTCTCCAGTAGTCTAGCACACCCAAGCCAGGAATAGGAATCACTAATCTCTGTGACAATATCAAGATGAAGAATCTAATCTGATCGAGCTGACCCATATAATGCTGGTTTATTTTTTATGCCATATAATATTTGCTGTAGTGGTATTAGTTCTGCTGACCCTTAACCCTTCAGACAATCCATGATAGCCAATAAGTCAACACAATAAGTCATCCTCCCAGTCTCATAGTGCAGCTCAAGTTTTTACATTTTAAGTTATTATTAGGACATTGATTAAGCAAAAGTATACTGGCCTCTCAACCACTTGGCTCTCTCTCAGCCACTGTACTGCCCAGATGGTTCTCAAGTATTTTCTCTCATTCCTCTGCGCTTTCACTGGCCTCCGGCCTCTAAACCCGGGCTTGGCTGCAGCCAGAGGAGCTGACTCTGCTCCTCATTCAGCTTCGGAGGCACCAGGCCAAGATGGCTGGTGTGCATAGCCCCGGCGATGCATTCGCTCACCTGCAGCACCACCAGCACAACGGTCTTCTAGGCCCCAGCATGCAGGTCAGGGGCCGCTGTATTTCCCTAACCTCCTCTACAGCACACTGCAACCCCTGCCAGTGCATTGTGGTTCCCCTCTCCCCAGCCAATCCCATACATTACTTCTCTGTCATTCATAAGACTGCGGTCTGTTGGCATTGCTTGGTTGTCTTGTTTATTCAACCATTTTGGCATGGGCTGTGTTGCACTGTCTAGATTGCCTTTAAGCTATACATTAGTCTCTTTATAGTGAATGTCACTCATCTACTTTTTTCAAAACATGAAAAAGCATTCAGAGGCTAGTGTTTTCCTATTTGTAATAAGTAATATGTCATATTTGAAGCATGTTGCTTGTTGACTGTGTCTGAATTGTATACTTGTTTTATAGATGTATAACCTTGCACAACCACAAAAAGAATATGTGATGAATACAACACATTTGTATCTAAATGTCTGTGTGCTCTGATAAATCTTTTGCTCTTGGTGTTTTCATTTTGAAGCAACCATCAGGCCACAGTCCCCCTTGTGAGCCTGTTTACAAACACTGCATTGCTGTAAGACTATCAGACCACAGTGAAGCTGCAACGGTGCTCAGTAATGACAACCCCACCCAGTTTCTAACATCCAACCATTCTCTGGCCATCCTCCATGTTTGCACTCAGTTTGACCACATGTCATGCACAAGACCTGTGTTGTTCAGTTGTGTATGAGGTCAAACATGAGACATTGAACCAGTTCAAAAATTACACGATTACTTAATTACAGTTTGGCTTTACTTACTGTGGATAAAAATACAGAGGTAGAAGTAAACTGTAATTGAGACCAAGTTAATTAAAGTTCTGTTAGCAGAGCCTCAACAGCAAATAAAGGCCTTAAGAGTCATCTGGTCACCCATTATCCTTTGCAGCTCCATTTCAAATGATTTATCTCTCCACTGCTCATTTAAAGGCTGATGATACTTACATACAACTGAAGAAGGACCTGGAGTATCTAGATCTGAAGGTGGGCCCCAACAAAGTAAATGCCACTTTATCCTTTTCATCCTCTTCTCCATCTCCCCTCTGTAGACTGCAATCTTGTTCTCCTGCTGCTGCCTCCAACATCTGCCTCCCTGTTTCCCCTTTTCCTGTCTTTCCTCTGTTCCTCTGCACTGTGCTTTTTCTACTGTTTCCTTATGATGGAATTAACATGTCTCTTAACTGTCTTTCTATTATGTAAATTATCCATTTGAGGATAAGAAGTAATTTGCATTAATAGTCTACTGAATCCAACAAATAGTCCAATGTGACTGACATAAAGTGCAAGAGCAATGTTTGGCTTCTTCCTAAAGTAGAAGTAGAAGAAAGATGTTTAGTTTGTCACAGAGTCTTCGATTGGATGATATTACTGTACTTTCAGATGTAGGTATGTCACCCCAACACATGTTGATCCTCCTGATGGGAATTGAAGTTTCAGCACATGGCTGAATTTCTAAAATGTCTGAGTCATGTGAACTCCAATTCCCATGTTACAAATAGTATAATTGCAAAGGCCTTTTACTGCAGTATTTAATCAGTCTGTTTCATTTAGCTAGCTACTGGCATATGTTCCATTTACACCTGTGCAAAGCATTTGACCTTAATTGATTTGTATGTTTAACACCACAATGCATTGATTAGAAATCTGGGTTGTGTTTTGGAAAGGAGGGAGGTCATCTAATGATACAGAACAGTACGTCCTGTAACTCCTCTCCATTTCCTGTTTCAAAACAGATCCAAAGTATTGACCCGATGATCGTTTCAGTACACAATGTGTTTGAAAACTCCACTCCGAGTTTTGGGTACTGTTGGAATGTAAGGATGGTGTGCATACAAAGTGAAACAGACCATTCCATTGCTTTTCAAAAGGAATGTGATGCATCCCTGGAAAATATGCAGGATTTTGCACATGGATACCTTGGTCCGATCATTCACTGTGTGACGCTCGCAACACTGCTATGAGATTTGAGATGATGGAAAGGAAGTCGTTATGCGAGAGGGCTTCCTTGCATGCTGTTAAGCATTTCTGAATGTGTTTCATGTTTGTTACATCTTGTCTTTGCTTTTGTTTTGCTTGTTAGAGCATAAGAGATGACCCAATGGTGCTCTTTAAAGAAATATAATAGCAATGTGATATGGCACTGACAACCTTAGGGCCTCTAGTTTCATTGTGGTAACTGGTGGAAACGGACGATAACGTGCAGTGGTGTGTATTCACCACGGTCTTGAAAGAGTACTACAGAAACTTACATAAAGAAGTTAACTTACATAAAGTTGGCCAGCTTGTGAAAGACAGATTACAGAAAAAGTGGTCAAAACTTGTATATTTTGACTAAATAGATAGAGATTTAGCTTGATATTAGTTTTCTGACCTTCATGTCTTTCAAACTCAGTGTACCCAAGTATGTAACATAGACGTTCTTTTCAAAAACTTGTAGTTTCCAAGCCCAACCTAAAGATCCTGGTGATCACTTGAGTAATTTTCCCAGACTTGACAAAGCTCCCTCCAGCACCACAGAATACATTATAAAACTGTTCTCACAGGCTGCGTAGTGCCCCACATGACTAGTAATTGACTTTGACATTTAAATTAGGTGGAATGCCCCTTTAACTGAGTCTCCCATTTGCTGTAGTCCATACCGCCGTGTTGGGTGTGGTGATCCTGATGTGGGTGTGTTATGAATATTCCACTCCAAATTTTTCATGCATTAGTAACTGTGACAGTCGACTGGCAGACTCTGCCCCGTTATCTGGACAACGTCTGGACAGGACAAACTGACAGTCCTTCTATTATAGTACTACTATACTATTATATATTATACTGATATCAAAATAGAACAATATCATTAAGTCGCTTCTAACTACCACAGATCTGATTACAGAAATATATAAGTTCCCATAATAGTATTTTCTGATAGTAATGTTATAAATTACCTAAAATAAGAATAAAAGAAAAAAAGTGTATTAAGCTCATTGTAAAGCTATTACCCCCAACCATATATGTTCTAAGCCCATACAATGGTAATGTACAGACCCCAAAATAATGGGGATTATGATTCATTTCTTGTACTGTGTTTCCCACTTGAAAATTGCTGACATCTTTAATGCAATCCTGCTGAATAATTAAATGCATCTTCTGCCACTTCCATGACACAGAAATGCAATACGCATAATCAATAACACATTTCAAGAATAGGCCACTTGTTACTTTTTATGCAGATGGAATTGGTTAACTGAGAAGAAACTAAGTACTAATTTAAGTAATTTAGCAGCATAGCAGACAGATGTCCTTATTTTTAGCCATGCTTGTGGCATCACTCTAGGGATGGCAGATCTCTTTCAAAGCTGTTGTGATTTGTTTGTCTGGAGGCAGATTAATCTTGTTGGTGAACTGAACTTTTATATATCTTAAACAAAGTTTTGTTAAACTGTGCTGAGGTCCATGATATCAACAATGCCATGGCTGTTGCAGCTACACACACACAGCTCATTATTTTTAATTATTCACACCTTTTCAGTCTCTTACCACTGGCTTTGCCCACACTGTCACTGCTCTCTCCTCCAGCATATGCATACTGCCATAGCACACCGTCATGAAACTACAGGCCTTGATAACTTAGAGTTTCACATTTAGCTTTTTGAAGTAGAAATAATGAAATGGTTCATGTGAAGGACCCAGTTTAACTTACAGTAATTAGCAGTGAGGAAAGAGCAGCTTTGGGGTTTTTAGGGTTTCCCCGAATGCAAAGATGCAGAAACTCTCTCTGCATAAATGTTTTTGCTCAGCTTCTGCACAAAGTTTTGTTATACCAGCTCGTGTTTTTTTCTTATTTTGGTTGTGTGAATTTTTATTTTTTTATTATTTTATCACGATCCATCCAGCTTGTCTCAGTCTCACTGTATGTTGGAAATCTATGCAGTTGTTGTTATCTCTTTACTGGAAGCATTAAAGTAAGGGTGTTCAAAATATGTCATCCGATTACTGATATTAAACATTTTATTTTATTTGTGGCTATTGGGAATTTCAGGTTACTGGACGTGAGAGTTTAAAAACAGAAAGACCATCAAGGCCTGTGAAAATAGCAGAAAGTGATGCTGATGTAAGTGAATTATTATGTTCTTAGGACTGAAAAGATAAGCACCATGTTTATCCGTCTCTTCCTTTTCTTTAAGATCTCCATTTCCTACTTCTTACAATCCACTACAGAGAGGCAGCTGACTTTAGTCTGACTTTACTGTGTGTTTTAGTGTGGTTTGTGTGTGTGTGTGTGCGTGTGTGTTCTTAAGTTGTGGTAAACAGAGGCTGTGGAGGGAAGGGAACGTATGTACATTGCAACACTGTGGGGACACCCATCCACACTGCACAGTGAGGGCCTGAGAGTATCGACCACAGCTTTTATTTTCCTCCCTGCAATTTAAAGGGAAAAATACATGTAATGGGAGTTTTAGATGTTGAGCTGTTAAATTTTTCAGTTTGATTTGCCTGATCCTGCTTTTTTCATTCTTTGTTTTCTGCTGAATGGAGGTAAATAAGATGGATGTCCTGGCTTTTCATCATTAGCATTGTTCCACTTTAACAATTTATAAGAAATTGCCAGTAAATTTGTCTGAACAATGAATATTTCATGCAATTAAAAACAACAATATACGGCAGCAAAATAAAAACAGCTTAATTATTAATTGAACAGAATGATAAATAGATCTGAGAAAAAAATACACTGTGTGAGAAAGACTGTGAACTAGGCAGTCTTATGTTGTTTTCATAAACACATAACCCATTTCTGGGAAAACAAATCTGTCACTCTCAATAAACACGGTTTTCTCCAAAAGTGAATTTGAAAATATGGATTTTTGATTATGATTACTCATAATGGGTATTACCAGATCTCGCCCCCAAACCAGACAGTATAGAGCCTTTTGATATTTCTCACTGCGCTTTTGAGAGGAATTCCTGAGGGCTTTTCACATAGATGAGCCTTATTGACATATTTACAGACAGCGAAGACTACAGTAGACGATCAATTCGTCTTATCTGGCTGTGTTGTTAGAATAAAGTTGAACGAAAACAAGAATGGAACAGACAACCTCTGTTGTAAACAGATACTGTATCTCATTGGCCCAGTCACCATTTTATCTCTTTCCTGTTTTTTCTGTTGCATTATGTCTACACTCTGTGGACTGTTTAGAGGTAAACAGAGATTAGATTTTATCATTTGTTTTCCTGCATTTTATTCTTCCAATATGTTTTCCTTTTAGGTGAAATTAAGTCGGCTGTGTGAACAAGACAAGATACTACAGGAGCTAGAGGCCACGATACGCACTTTGAAGGAGGACAAGGTTTTTGGCTTATACATACACAAAATTTGTGTGAGTCAGCCTGTATTGGTGTGGTCCATAAATGCTTCTTGTTTTCCAACTGTGTCTTTCATGTCTCTATCTAGGACAAGCTGGAGTCTGTGCTGGATGTTTCCCACCAGCAGATGGAGCAGTACAGAGATCAGCCGGCCCATGCTGAGAAGATTGCTTATCAGCAGAAATTACTACAAGAGGATGTGGTGCACATCAGGGCTGAAATATCCCAAGTCTCCACAGTAAGACACAAAGTCCATTAAGCTTATAATGACAAATACAGCTTCTTTGACTTCTATGTTAAAGTTAAAATATGCAACATGCCCCCCCTCCCAATGTTGTTCATTTAGTTTTGACTGGTAAGTTACTCTGAATCATACTACTCAGACTGTCTCCTATATTACTAAGTGCATGCTACCACAGCATTATGGTTTTTATTGCTTAGAAACAAGATGTTCACTTCTATTTTTAGTTGTTCCTTTTTGATGGTTTCTGCAACTGGCACAATGTTTCAAGTTGACTGTGACTATCAAAATGAGTGCTCGGGGACAAACCTGAGGCTACAAAGAAACTCATGAGTTAATTTCTACACCACTCAGAAAAATGCTTTAGTCAAAATGTCCACTGATATTCAAAATATTCAGTGTTAAAATGATAAAACATTTACAAATAAACCACCAGATTACGCAAGAGTACACCAGAGTATCTTTAGCTCTCAGTGTCAAAGACAACCACATTGGTTGTGCTCTCAATGGTCGCAGGAAATATCGGTCTTATACGTGACTGACTGAACAATGGAAATAACAGATCAAATCCAAGTGAATCATATTAAAAACTTGATTTCAAGTGAGAAAGCATAGTAAAACTCAAGCAGCTCAAAACACTTGCTCTCAACTACTCTACTCTAATTATATGTAACCACACATAGGCTTTACTGTACGTGTTACCTCCTAAGATGAGGCTGTTTCTTGTCTTATTATAACATGGAGATGGTTCTGTTTCGTTTTTCAGGAGATGGAGAACGCGTGGAATGAGTACAGCCGGCTGGAGAGAGATGTGGAGTGGCTGAAGTCAGCCCTGCAGGGACAGATGAACCGCAGCGATCTCTCTCAGGTCTGTGGCTCGTGTTAACTCACACAAACAAGTCATTCACTCTCATGCATGGGTGTGCTTGGGAATTAGTTACAGACTTCTCATTTCGTAAGCACAGACAAAGCAAGGAATTGTGGTTGATATGTATTAGCCTCAAATTAAAAATTATATTTTGGTAAAAATAGATGACTTTTAATCAGTGATATGTTGTTTTGGTACACAAGTAATTTTACGATGCATGTTTCTGTGTTCGTCTGTGAGCAGCAAGAGAAAGTCCAGATCAGAAAAGAGCTGTGGAGGATTGAGGATGTTATTGCAGGCCTCAGCACCAGTAAAGCCAACTACAAAGTCACTATCTCCTCTGTCACCAACCCAGGTGAGACAGGTGCTACCTGGAGGTTTCATATGTACAAAGCAAATGATGTTCGCTGTATGTGCAATGCAGTACAAGCCATGTGTGGTCACGCTACAGTATGTTACCATTAAAGCTCTTAATCATATACTCAATACTAATGCCTTGAACATTTCCCATGGGAAAAGAAAGCACTGTCTTTACAGCGTGTGTGTGTTCATGTTACATGTTCATATACATTGAATTCCCCAGAGAGGAAATTTGTGCCTTCAGTGTCGGCATCATCAGTGCCTTCTGTGTCTGGGAGCCCGTCTGCTATGGAGATGAGATTGTCCCAGCAGCAGCAGCAGCACAGCCCCCACCTCAGCCCAAGTAGCCACACCCCCACCCTTTCCTCCAGCCCCAGCCAGCAGCCTTTACGCCACTCTGCAACCATCACCAGTGGGCTGAAATGGGTGAGTGACCCCTGCCACAGAAGTAAACCTCAGCTGGGTCCTACAAAATAAAGGCCATCTTTGTATGAAAAGCTGCATGAAGTCTTTGTACGATGCAGTTTGTGTAGCTTTGCACATTTTTCATACGCCTTTTCTAATTGCCAAAAATATCACATGATGCCTTAAACAGAAGCTTTACCTTTTCTCATTTGGGTCAGTGTTTCCATTTACACTTTTTTCAGCACTAGATAAAGGGTTGCAACTATTGATTAGTTTCATTATATTAGTAATAGTCTATATATAAGTATGTCAGTTATTTTTGACACTAATAAATTAATTGTTTTGTTAATGAAATGTCACAAAATGCCCATCACACATTTTCAGGGCAGTGTTACATTCAGTGTTACTCACTAAAACTTACTGAGTGAATCCTTGAGGCAAACGTGACAAAATGTTCCTTCCTTATCAAACATATTTTTAGTATTTTGAATCCAGCATTGTTAACATCTATGTTTCCTAGCTAGCAGTCTTCCTTTTCTTTGCCACCTGTTGATCAGTGTTATAGTGTATCGCTTCATGTACATGACAGGGAACAAGGACCCAAACAACTCCATAGCACTACTAGAGGTCAAAGACTCCACAAGAAACCTTTAATGTGAATATGTAGCGTCACGTATTTATTAGTGGTCTTTCAGAAAGGACTGATGTCACAGTCAGGGCAATGTGAGGTCGTTGCTTGTTTGTCATTTTAAGTATGTATCAGTAATTCACAGTTGTTCTGTGTGCAGGGTGAGGATGATGTGCCTCCCAGACCTCCTCTACCTCAGCTCTACAGTCCTGACGAGCATCCCCCTGCTGTGCCCCCGTTGCCCCGGGAGACAACGGTCATCAGACACACTTCTGTACGCGGCCTCAAACGACAGTCAGATGAGCGTAAAAGGGACAGAGAGATTGGCCAGTACACTAATGGAGACAGTAAGGTACAGGCAGTGTGTGAAATTTAGACATCTAAGCACCACAAACACAAATCTACACAGTTTCTAATCTATGTCTGTGTATCTCAGGTGGAACTTAGGCCTTTCCTGAGTGATCCAGAGCTTATGGGAGCTGGAGACGGCTCCAGTCACATCAGCATAGTTGCATCTGGACATGATGGGTACCAGACGTTACCTAGCAGAGGTACGGGGATGATCGAGCCAGTAGAAAGAGACTTATTTACTAGATTTGAGGAAATTTGGGAAAAGTGGAAAATGTATATTGCTCCTTGTTTAACTGCTTGTCATTTCTTATTTTATTTTCTTCTTAGTATGTTTTTTTTTCTTTTTGCCATTTTGAAACACCCCATGTTCTGTTCATATTTGTATATTTAAAAAAAAAATTGTAAAGATGAATCACTGTATATTTCTATCAAACTATGCGGAATGTGTTAAGTGCTGATATGTGATTCTAAATAAAGAGAAAATGGAAGAAAAAAAAAGAAAGAGACTTATTTAGCTGTAGAATATTTATTATGTTAAAGATTTTACACCAGTGTTTGGCTGTATTGCCAAATTGAGTACAGCATTTTAATGTGGTTGGCTTTTCCTCAGGAGTGGCTGGCTCATCGCTTAGGCTAAATCAGTCTTCAAGCATCTCCTCATATGTGACCCTCCGGAGAGCAACCTCAGCTGTCGGCATGAAGGTGAGGATCGGAATTAACTAAGATCAAATAGTAAAGAGTGAGTCAACAGTGAGTCCCCATCAGCACATCAGAGGAGAGACAGCACAGATACATGATATCAATGCAATTCACAAATAAATGAAAGGACAGTTAAATTATTTGATATTTCGTGCTCAAATTTGTACTTCCTGCTTTCCCAAGACCTCCATCAAACCTATCTGCAAGTGTTCACAGGTGGGAAGACAGTTAGCCATTCTGTTTGGGGTTTTTTTGCACTATAACAAGATCATTAGATTGTTAGCAATGAAAAAAAATATAAAATGTACAAAATAAAAAAAAATATTTACAGATTTACAAAAACTCAAATGGTAAAAACCTGCATTCAGTAAGTAAAAATGTTTGTGCCAGTCAAGTTTTTTTGGCTTTTTACAAAAAAAGTATGTTTTAAGTTTGACAGATTTTGGTAAAATATATCTGAACTTTGTCAAGCTCCAATTTTATAGGTAGACGACATACAATAATATAAACTTATTGTGTAAACTTAAAATAACAGCTACTAAATGCATTCAAATTCCTCGTAAATAAACAGACAACAAAACTAAGTATTTGTAGTGTAATTTATACTATATACCTGATTCTCCGTATGCTCCAAATATAACCTCATAAATGTCTCAGTTGTGAAAAGTGTATTGTGTTCCTGTTTCGCTCCTTGTTAACATTAGCTATGATTTTACCCTCTCGTTAGGTTTGTTTTTATTTCCCCCCCTCTTCTTTGCCTTCTGCTGCACCTTTTGCTCATGTTATCAACTCTCTTTCCTCCCACTCCTCTCAGGAGAGACCAAAAAGTGCCTTGGAGCGTCTGTACTCTGGGGACCCGGCGCAGCAGCAGCAGAGGGGGAAGATGAGTGCTGATGAGCAGCTGGAGAGGATGAAGAGGCACCAAAAGGCTCTCGTCCGCCAGCGCAAACGCACCCTGAGTCACGGAGACCGCCACGCCTCGCCATCGCCGCGCACCTCGTCTTCCTCCTCGCGCCCGCTTTCAGCAGACTTGGGATCAGTATGTTACTAGAACAGTATCACACGTCACACTCTCATGCATGACGACAGCCAAATCGAGAGTGGCACTCTACGGTAGTCATGCATGCCTTTACTCAGTAGTCTGTCCTTTCTCTGTCCCTGACATTACAGAGTTGATAGTAATACATTAATGCAGTATGCTCATTCACTGTGTGGCTCTAGCTGTGCTTATATCATGCATGTTGTTTTAAGACTTAAACCAGCCTTTTTCACAGCAGGTGTTTTGACTTGTCATAGTAGGAAAAGCACAGGTGTTACTAATAACATTAATAATAGCTCTGTTTTATTCAGCTGCCCTATTAAGTCATGACAATGTGACACTGAGTGAGCCCACATGCAGAATACCAGGACCCTGAAACTGAAGCAACTAAATGGAATTCAGCCATCATTCATTTTATTGTGCTTTTCCTACTGTGACATGTCAACATTTCTTCTGTGAAAAAGGCCTACACAGATAAGTGGATAACAGTTTCTGCATTACACTTAACACAATAAAGTGTGTACAATACTTACATAATTGACAAAAAAAGTGTTTGTTATGGAGTGGAAATAATTACATTTATATTGAATAGGGATGTATTCTTGTTCAAAATCTTTACAGTATATCTTGCCTATTGCCTACACATAACACACTAATTACCTGAGGCACAGATCATCAATGCCATCTACACCTCATTTTCATCATTTTTTCTGGGTATTTTTCCTCATCATTCTCTGTTATAGACCCTAACATTGCTTCCATTGATTCCATCCATTCTCACTTCTCCTTAGTGTTCTTTCCATTTCTTGGCTTTCACTCTAACAGTATATATATATATATATATATATATATATATATATATATTTTACCATACTACCATACTTTCAGAATAGCACCCAGATATCTGTTTACCAGTTTCCCCTCATTTAGATGTTCATGCTCGCTGTTCTTTAATGATGTGCTGTTGCTGTCTGTAAGCAGTCCGTGTGTGTGTGTGTGTGTGTGTGTGTGTGTGTGTGTGTTTGTGCTTGTGAGAGAGAAAGAAAAAGAAAGTGCCTTCTTATTTTCTACTGACAAAAACATTGACATATACTCAGCAGTGCCTATTCAGCCTACTCATCGTAACCTAATCATCGCATTTTTCTTGCGATATTATTTTTTTTACTTAAATGAAAATAAAGATGGTTGTGTTAACGGACTGGGGCCTACTTTTGTCCCATTTACCAATTTGAAGTCTTTGTGAGAGAAAGCCTTTTATATAGACAATACTAATGTGTATGACATTCATTTCATATAGGTTAAGTGATTTCAGTGTTTGCTCAGCGTTTTTATCTGCTAATTAATAGTTAGTTATAAGAACCCTTCCTTTTTCAAATGTGAATGTTTGCAAATAAATAAACATTATTTTCTAATGAACGTATATCGCCATGTTTTTTTTATTTGTTATATATTTTTTATCTGAATACATAAAATATGGTTATGTCATCAGTATGAGTGCAGAGATCTTTCCTCTTTGTTTGAGTGTCATTGTGCTGTCTTTATCACTGTTGTGGAGAATTTACAGCATGCTGTGATTTGAGGGTTTCCAATTTCATATAAGCATGCATTTATGTCTCATACATATCAATGCATGCTCCCTCTTTTTTTCTTTTTCACACCTGTACACACACACTCTCTCTCTCTCTCTCTCTCTCTCTCTCTCTCTCTCTCTCTCTCTCTCTCTCTCTCTCTCTCTCTCTCTGTGTAGCCAGTAAGCAGTAATAACTAGTGTTGTACAGTACTTGTTTCATTAAATTATGTGTGAAGGCAAGTGAAACTTTCACATTGACTTGATGAACAAGACAACTTGATGGCAGCAACCTGTAATTTGTTTCACAGTCTATTTTGTTTCCTTTGTGCGTTGTCCAGTGGAAGAGAGAGCAGGACTTTGACCTGCAGTTGCTCGAGAGGGCTGTTCAGGGAGAGGAGGCACAGGGAGTTAGGAGCGTTCAGGGGGAGGAAAGACCTCCCGAGCACAAAGAGAGACCCCGCTCACACTCTGACGAATGGCTGACCTTCCGCTCCATGGCCACAACCCCTCCCACCCATGAGGTTGACCTGGAGCCACTAGACTATGACCTGGACCTTAACAAAGAGGTAAGTTATCTTTGTCTCAGTGAAGATACAGCTGATGAGTATTTTTGAGTTTTAAAGATGCCTTGCTGCACTGGTTGCAGTGAAGATACAGCTGATGAGTATTTTTGAGTTTTAAAGATGCCTTGCTGCACTGGTTGCAGTGAATATACGTCCCAATGAGTAGTTGTGTGAGTGCTGCTATACTGGGCCTGAACTATAGCAGTCTGAACTTTTGGATTGGAGGTTTTATTCCGAGGCATGTAGTGGAGGCTAAAAGATGTTTGCTGTCTACGTAGTGGACACATTTCCTGTTGGAACTTGTGCTTGTTTTGTTCTCGCAAAGAGTGTGATATCGTCACATGAGCACCCCCTTTTGGTAGGGGGTGTAAAAAATAAACCCTCGCACAGCAAAAGCATTGACTGATGCTTATTCTGAGAGACATATAAATGATGTAGAAGAAAACTAACAGACATCTGTTGTAACTTACTTATTACTTAAATCTAACTACAAAAATTATTTTCAGTTTTAAGCAGGTAGCTAAATGTCCATAAACAGTTTAACTCTTAGTTGTAGGATTAGCTTATTTAAAATGTCCTCTAATGTCCGTCTGCATATCCTTCAGCCGTGCAACTGGATAGATTATTTTTTGGGTGATCTGATAACAAGGACGATGATAAAGACAACTAAGATCTTAACACACATCATGTCTATTTTGTGTAGCTTTCCAAGCCTCAGAAAGTCCTGATTCCGGAGCGCTATGTAGATTCAGAGCCTGAGGAGCCTCTCAGCCCGCAAGAGGTAGAGGACCGCCATCGGAAGGTGGAGCGCATCAAGAGCATCTTGGCAAAGTCCAGGTAAATAACATAAAATGAAACAGATTTTGCATTTAAGTGTTGCACATACATGGCTGATTCTGGGGTTTCAGGAAGGCATTGTAGTCATCCCAACAACCATTGAAAAATACTCCCATTCAAGCCCTTTGTTGGCAGGCATTCACCCTACAGACAATGCAATCAGTGCATTTCCACATCACTACCAATGCATTGTGGTTTGTCAATTTGGTGTTTTGTTTCTTTGTGCGTGGGACAGTGTGCAAAACCTAGCACCGACAGTGACTGTGGACAAGCCGGAGGTGGGGCTAGTGGCACTTGACTCGGCTCTGCAGGAGCAGGAGAGGATCATCACCATGTCGTACGCTCTCGCCTCGGAGGCTTCACTCAAGAGCAAAATAGTCGCAGGTTCGTAATTTTTCTCATTTGAAATGATTTTCTCTTCATTTCAACCTGTAGGTTATCAGTTTGTACATCTTTGCTTTATAAAGGAGTATAAAAATCATTATTCCACAGAAACACTTACAGGAATAATTACTGCCAAATCTAATCTGCCAGGAAAGAAGGGATAATAGGGAGAATTCTGGATTGATGTAAAGGAGATAAGAAGGGCGTAAGGTGCAGAGTCAAGCAATAAGGCTGTTCATTTCCTAATAACTGAACATTATTCCTTCTTAGGAGTGCAGATAGCCTCTAATTGCAATCCGTGTAGAATCTTTCAGACGGGGGAGGAATTGCTTGATGAGGCCATTTTGTGTGCTGATCAATGACCCTCTCAAACTCTCCTTCTGCATACCATTGCTGCTGCTTTGAACGTAGCTCTGAACCTGCATAAAAGACACTGCGCTTACTTTTCATCTCTTTCATACTCTACAGCAGACAAGCAAGTTCATTTTCACTGTAGCTGCAGCAGGTTGTCAGTCTGTCGGCCTCTCACACACACACACGCACACGTATATGTCACACACAGTAACACTCAAGCTGTCAGCGTGTGTGGAAGCTTAATATGCACAGTGAGGCAAAGTCAACAATTATAACATTATTTCCAGCATAGAGAAATGTCAGAGAATATAACTGGTGGCATCTTGTCAGTAGAGACTGAATCAATGACTTTCTCTCCCTTTGGTGTTAAAGTAAGGTATGCTGGTGCACTTCCAAATCCCTGAATTCAAAGAAGAGTCTTTTTCTCAGTATTATGCATGAGAGACTTCAATAATGCTGGCATAAAAGCAGGAATATTCAGCTCTGAAATTACATACAGTATATTTTAAAAAAGGTGTTTTTGATTGTTGAATTTGTTATTCTAAACTTAGTATTTTGTAATTACTTGTACTTGTGTTTTGTAAGAACCTCTTAATTTTTCTACAAAATATGAATGAACTTCCTCCTTGTAGTGCCTCTTCAGCTATTCGTTGCTTTGTTTTCTTTTAAGCTGCCGAAATGTTCAAATGATGAGGAAATAAAGCACACACCACACCACAGCATAGAGAACACAATGCGCCTCAAACGTCTGATGTTGCAGCTGATGTTAATTAAAAACATTTACCATCCTAATGACCTTCGTCTTATCGAATACCTTCAAATCCTTTACTCTTTGGGATTTTCAAGCAAAAACACGCTAGAAATGCGTTGATGAAAAACGACATAGAACTTTTCTGTTAGTAAACACAGGTAAAGATGCTGTTGATGAGGCCATCTGAGATGTTCTTGTATGTGCGCTGTATCTACACACATGGAAGTTTTTACACTCCTGAATAAGGGAGGGGCAGCTTCACTGACGGAAAATGAATCTGCAACTACTTTGGTAATTGATGAATAGAAGCAGAAAGACCAAACTTTCACTGGTTTAAGATTTCATGTTTTTCTTTGTCATATATCATTATAATCTTAATATTTTTGGGTTTTGGCCAGATGGTCTGACAAAAGAAGACATTTGAAGACACTGGGGGGGGATATAGAAGCATTTTTCACTTTTTTCTGACATTTTATTGACAGAACAATTAGTTGATTAGAGAAAATTATCAGCAGATTATTCGATAATAAAAATAATTTAGCTGCAGCCCTAACCTTCATACATCTACAGTTACATTTCTTGTCAACTGCAATTTCATATTTTTCATAATATATATGCACACATTGGAGAAGTTAGAACCAGAGAATTTTCAGGGTTTTTGCCTAACCACCGACTGATCAACCAATTAAAATTGTTTCCAATTCATTTTCTTCTTGACTAATGAGTACATTTAGTAGCTCTATAGTTTATGCTGTGGGCAGAAGGCTATCCCTTTAATATATCCTGTTGTATCATGCCATTGTGGACACTGCTGTAGGTCATAACATTGGATTTACAGGAATTTTGCATCAGTGTGATACGGCACTTTTATTTGACTTTCCAGAATAACGATATAAAAACAACATCTACAGTGATATTAGAGTTTGTCACCCACTCCCAGTGTCATTAGTGTCTAAAGCACAGGAAGTGTGAAGTGTGGGTGTAGTTGACAGAGCTTAAACACTTTCATAGTTGTGTGTCCTTTCAGAAAACTGTGTGTTATTGTGTGTTCCAGCCTTCACTGTGACCTTAAAACTGCCCCAGAACTATTTGGCCGTTTGACCTACAACCGATGTCGTTTTCCCCCTCTCTGTTTCCCATCTGTCCTCTCCTCTGTAGTTCCAACACAGGCTAACATCCCCACCCCTCCTCCCCCACCCCCTCCTCCACCTCCTCCTCTTCCTCCTGTATCTCTGGCGCCTCCCTCTCCTCTAAGCAACGGGATTCACTACACGTTTGTCTAATCCGAGAAATAAAGTAAGGCCTAACCGCATGTTTTACAGTGCTAATGTTTTCGAAAGCCTCACTAATTCTCTCTAACAGGGGGCTCCTGTGTGCTTTGCACCTCACTGCATGCTTACTGCTCTGTTGTGATTGTAGGAAACACATCTTGTCTGGGGTAGGGAAGCCCTGTCTCTGCTCCTATTATAATCCAAACAAACATCTGCAGGCAGTCTGTTCATCCCACTGTGATAATTGTGTGTAAATTGTTTTTTTTTTTTTTGTACCACTGCCAAAATATTTGTGGATGGTTGAGGAAAGAAAGGGCTCAAACGAACATGACTGTTTGTAGCATTGTGTATAATTAACAAAGGAGACACCTTTTGATTTAGCACCTTGACAGTTCAGCAGTCAGCACAGCTGCATTCCACAGCACCAATTAGCTCCCCATCTGTAGCCTGGCAGCGATAAGTTAGAAAAAAACACAGTAGATATCACTGTTGTTACTGTAAAGAGAGGGTTTGTGTCATTTTACTGCCTCATTAAAAAAAACTCCATCCCTCAGCCAGTACCGACAAATATTTGATTACTAAATTCAGTTTGATTTATTTATATAACCATTAGCCTTGCATTGACTAATGTGTATGAAATAAATTGTTTCACATGGGCATACATACATAATAAAATAATCAAACGTTGATAAATGAACACACACCCACACATAGTTGTAAACTGTCCATCTAGCTGTGTATGACCTTTTGACGTAGAAGCATGAACTGCTTCCTTGTCAGTCTGGCATAACTTGAATGTGTCATTTCCAGCTGTATGAGGAACCTTCATTCATTAAGAACTTGTGTGACTGCATGCTTGACTGTGTATTTTTGTACTGTGTGCGTTATCCGAACTTTTTTCTGTAGTAGCTCTCATCCCGTGTTCAGGTCTGCTGTAAGAGGTGGGCTGTGATGGGTAGTTGGTTTGGAAAAGTTGCTCCGCCACTTAACAGTTTCGTGTCCATCACTGAAGATCAGATTGACACACAGGTTCTACTAATTGGATTCATTTTAAGTAAAATATTTCAGAACTACAGCACATAGATAGCCCCTATTGTTAACAGTTGTAGTGTGTCTGCATAACTGTTCACCAAAAGTGATAAAACTGTAAAACTTTCATTTTAACTCACCTTGAGGAAGAGTATGAGAGTTTTTTTTCTGTGTACGCAACACTCGTCTCAGTATCATGTAGCAAGTTGTTCACTCATTCCTATATAGTATGTTTTAATTGTATGGTTTTCACATCTGTGTGGCAGCTGTTTATTGATCATTGGTTATATGATCATATCCTAAAAAAGATCACTGCCCCTTTTAGTAATGCACATGTATTTGGTAAGTGGATCTAAGTTTAGGGTATATGTTTAGTTGACTTTAACATTTTCTATGTCAAGGACAAAAAATATTTGGTTAATGTTGTACATGTTTTTGATCATGGTGCATGGACAGAAATTCATGATTCTTTCACTTGTGGCTCCAAAACTAACGCATTATCATATTATGCTTTCTGATATTCACTGTTCTTGGACTTACTTTGTCTTTCTATCTCATCACCTCTCAGCCCAAGCAATTTCTGGACACTGAGGTGCTATTCCATGATGACAGCAAACAACTTGATTCTGCAAAAAAAGAGGATCTCGTTTGATTTTGGAAACTTACAATTTTTCCATACAGCGGTACAAGAATTGTACTAAACATTTAACCTGCTCTTTGAGGCTCACGCAGCAGTGACTTGTTAAAGTATTTCTAGTTGCTGAGAGCGAAGACTTTGGAGTTGCTGTGCTTATTAACTATGGAAGTGTCTAACAATTATTGTTATTATGTTAATCTCATAATAATAAAAAAATATTTTCTACATGTCATTGCACTTTGAATTGTACACTGTATCATGTTTTTCGAGGTATGACTGAATTGCTTTTACTTGCAGTGTGATCTCAACTGGGAACATCTTTGTTTTTTTTTGTCAGGTACAGAATGTTAAGAACAAGAGGTACTAAATGTGTCATGATGGTAGTATTTTTGTCAAAACTCAGATAATATTCTTACAACAAACCACTTGAAATATCATATGTATGTACCTGTAGCACTGCCAGTCTCCTTTTAGCTTGCCAAAATGAATTTTATTTTTGCTTACATCAGGATGAAAATAACCTTTAACATATTTTCTGTGTGACTGGGGAAGGTTGCACAATGGAAATTTATAAAAATGTGAATATTAAAGATATTAACACAAGATCTGGTTCATCACCATCATTTTATTGTTTTATTTCATATTTGTTACATTTATTTTATTTTTATTTGAATGAATTGAGTACCATATAGGCTCAGCTGTCCAATGACAATATTGAATGAGCCAAAAGTACAAATTACTAGTATAAAATGTTATATTTAAAGGAAAATACAACAAACTATGACCTTATGTCATCCTGCATTAGTGATATAAAACGTTGTTTATGACACAGCTTACACCGCCTTATAACTGACTTAAGCACTAGTCACATTGTCACAGTCAGAAATCATTGGTGTTGTTCAGCCAACAAATAAAATAATTATATTGTGCTTGCTGTCTGCCAATGAAGGGTGAAGTCTTACTTACTGCTTCTCTCAATGGTTTGAGTCATCAAGTTTGCTTGTCCTTGCCATTGATTTCCAAAGCAGCAGCTGGACAGTTCAGTGTACACAGATGTTCAAACTGTTAAAATCCAATACAAAGATCTAGGCTTTATTATTCTCTTAACTGAGAAATTAGGCCAAGAAAGGCAACTTTTACTTACAGTATTAACTTTTAACCTAAAAGAGCTTTTGTTCTTTATTATATTTCACTGAGGCGTTTATTGACCGTATCTTTATTCTAATCATGTACAAAGGAAAAGTACAAAATGTGCACTCATCATAGCTTTAAGATTCTGTTTGAACCTCCACATTGATTGCCTTGACCTATTAAACTTCATTCTATTATTTGAAAAGGGAACCAGACTATGGCATGCTCAAAGGAGGTGAACTTTCAATACAAAAAAAAAAGGCTTCTTGAAATGTTTCTTAAGTTCAAAGCTTTTCCCATCTCAAAAGGGCATTTTTAATTCCGTGTATTTTCAACCAAGAAGGTGGATACTAATAACTCTGGATTCTGAAGTACAGAATTCATATCTTTAAATCATGAACTGTCTCCATTGCAATTGTAAAAGAAACCTCTGAGAAATACATGTATTGAACTTCTGATTCAAAAAGAGAAGAATATAGAGAAAATGTTTTTAAATAGAAAGTGCAGCGGTGCCATTATTAGCAAATAATGCAGTTCTCGTCACAAATATTAATCATGTTACATTTGTCATGAATCGCCCTGATACATGCGTTGATAGGACATGATGCATATGCTTTTAACGGATATGGCGCCCTCGCCTTCCTTTGCTTATCTCAGTGAGCTGTTGTGATGCGGCTCTCTCCCAAGTGACATCTTTATCTTTAATTGGAGAGTAATTACTTGTACTCGTCTGCATCATGGTGCGCTTTGAAAACACCTGAGAGAGGAGGATCCACCTCCCTCGGCAGACACATCCTCTCTGCCTCCATCTCTCCTCCAGGATTCGGGGGCCCCACAGCGCCTGCTGGCCCTGGTGGCTAGAAGACCCAACATATCCTCTGTTCTGCTTATTTTGCAATAAAATGGGATGTTTTTCCCTCCTCCTGCAAAAATTCACCCAAGACCCTCCACTGAGGATTGTGGCATTTCCATGTATTGACGTTTGGCTGGTGGTTCATATACATTTGTTATTCTATGCTCTGGACTTCAAAGAGAATGAAAGAGGGCCTATTATGCTAATTGGGTCCTGTTCTGTTAAACGCAATCAAGGCCTCCCGCATTAATCCTTTACTAAATACTTACTGGCTTTAGAAATGCTTTTTCTACTAAGACTAAGACATATTGCTCAGTTCCCTGACAGGGATGTTTGTTAGAGAGTAGTTTTTGTAGAAGTAAATAAAAGATTCTATGTTAATAAAATGTCTTATTTTAAATCACAAAAGTAAAAGCGCCTCATACCAAAGTTTGGAGTATGATTGATATGACACTGGTCATGTTAAAGCTTTGACTTTAGCTTTTTTTTGTCAGGTTTCCTTTTTGGCAGGTCGATGGTTGAAGGAAAAGCCTACTGAGACCATGCTGAGGAGCCTGACCTTGTTCTCAGGTCTATATTGTTCACTGCATTACACGCTGCATTTGTAACATATTCACAGTTTCCCCCTGATAGGGGAAGAGAAGGGAGAGATCCTACATCAATTCCCAGTGATACCTATTTCCATCACATAAATATTATTGTTACTTGCCGTGAATGTCTGAGGATTAGATTACAGTGGAAACACAGCCGGCGCCTCCTTTGCACACTGTGGGGATCCAGATTGTAGTCCAATTGTACAAATACAAAACCAAGGAAGCCGATGCAATAGGTGCTTTGATTTCAAAAGAGTATTTTATGCTGTTTTATCATTTTCAAGCTCCACATACGGTACATTTTTTAATATGTAAGAAATGGAATGGTGATTTGTTGAATAATTGAAGAGTTAGGAATCACTGAATATTCTTTCCAACGTGCATGCATGCTATAAAAAGAATAGAAGGAAAGCTAAATTACAGTCATGATGCACTACATTGACCTAACTATTTCCATTAACTAAAACAATGCCTTTTGTGTAATATTTTATTTCAAAGCCATTATGTTTGGGTTTTACAGTTGTGATATCATTTGGGAGATAATAGAAATGTAGAAAGATTAAATAATGAACAATACGTTTACAGGCTTAATATATTAAACAGCAAGAGAACACAATTCCTTCAACATAAATGATTAAGTGTGTTGAGAAGGTGCTGTATTACATTAAACAATGAATTAATCCCATTTCCCTTAAACGGAAGGCTTTTACAATACCTACAGTGGATTGGGCTTTTGTACATAAAAGCAATTGCTTTGTAAATGAACCAAATGCCCCTGGGCCTCCTCTTTAATACAGCAGCTCCATGCACACATACACACTGATCTAAGTGAAATTTACAACATTTAACGACGCAGATGAAAAGGCTACAAATGCGTCTACTGTACGGACCCACAGTGCAGTATTATGGTGATGCATCAGTCTTTTTTTTTTTCATCAGTCTTTTTTAGATACATGATACATGAATACAGGGGAAAAAAGTTGTAACTGTCAAGTTAGGCCATAACTTTAAAAGATGTGTTTTGATGAAATACTTAGAAACACAAAAGTTACAGCAGTAGAGCAAAAATCATACTTGAATTGTTACTTACATGAAAAACAAGATGCTTCCACCTAAACAGATTCTTGATTGCGCCTCAAATAACATAGTGCAGGTGTGGATTTAGAAATACATACATATATAGTACCATAAATAATTGGCTAAAATGTATTCATGAGTACTACAGGGTTGATATTTGTATTACTGTTGGCACAGGCGGTGTGATGGTGTCCCTGATAAGTATATAATTAGAATTGGCATGTTGCACTCCTTATTTCAACATGATTAATCAGTGGTTCTCTGTTAACTTGAAAGGAAATATTAGATCCTGACTAAACTTTGATGAAATCCAGAGTTACAAGTAAGAGATTTGGGTCAACTAATGAGAACAGAGCGTCCCACTTTGCAAGTCCAATTGGGAGAGAGATGATTTGCATGTATGCAAATAGTGTTTGAGTTAATTGCATAACTTGGCATTCGATAATGACTAAGTTGTGTTGGATTTGTGGATGTCGGTCTTTTACAACTGGATCGTGTCAGTGGTTGTGACCATTGGCGGAATCGTCTCACTGATGGCATGTCAGGGTGTTAGCAGAAGTTTCTGTAGGGTTTTGTCATTTCTTGTCATTGAAGATCTTCTTTTAGTACATTTACAGTTTTTAGTACACTTTAAAGAGCCCGCAATAGATATTCAGTACAATGCCTATGTGTAAGATCAACATAGCCTGTATTTATATTCAAGTTTACATTTAAAACTAGATGTACTGTATCTATTCCTACATTTTCAATTTCACTTATTATGCTCGCTGTCTTGGAGGTAAATGTTGAGACGAGCTCTCAAAATGTTTTTCCCCCAGAACCCTCCACTGTCCTCTTGAGCTAAGGTCAGCTGCAAGATCTACTCTCTTCAGCATTAGATCCTTATGCAGTCAAGAAACAGGAAAATGATACCACTTGTCCATAAAGTAATGCTTTATAATTGAATACAAGTGGAAAAAAAAGGTATGTCTGCATATCAGCTAAAGTCAGTATGGATAGCTGCACATGGATACTCCATAAATATAAATATATGAATTCAAGATATCCCTCAGTTTTAATAATAAATATGCATTATAGTATATTATATTATAAATCCTTTGTAGGTTAGAGTTAAAAATGATCTAAATTAATAACAATTCCAAGATATTTATACACTGGCTCGTAACAATTCTGAAACATGTTTGTTCACATGTACAACTGTTTACAAGTGTATTAAAATCTACTAAAACATGATAATATATGACTACATGACTCATATATGATGTCCTTATATCTGCTAACAACTGAATCATAGTGTGTTACGGTGTGTAATAAACATTTGTTTGTTTATTGGCTGTAAATAATAAATAGTGGGGTTAGTACTACTACTGTTAAAAAGGCTGTCCCATGTCCTGACACATGTTAGCCCTAACTGGGTTAATGTGATGCTCAAAGGTTTAAAGTAGAACTTTTATAATGTTCTCCTTTTATAATGCAGATAATTGTGAATCCTCATTGAGAATACAAATCACTGAGTATGAATCAGCTGCACACCTTTGAAACCTGCTCTGGCTGAACTGTAATCAAAGCAGCGCCCCCCCAACCCCCCCTCACCCTCACTCACTGACTGAATAGTGTTCTCTAATTAACCATGCAGAACAGGAGAAGAACACATGTTAATTTAATGTAACAAAAATGTTGATTTTCATGCACTCTCCTTTTCAAATATTTATGGGCTAGACTTGAATTTCAAGATGCATCAAAGACTCACAGGGTATGCAAATGTGTCTGCCTTACCCCCCAACAAGTTGGACTGTCTTTTGCTCTTCAAGCTGGCTTCACGCACTGCCACCTGAGCTATAAAGAGGAAGCCATTACAGTCACCTCTATAGAAATAGTAGTCTATATTTGTGTTTTGAGATCTATCCGGCACCCGCTGGCACCTGCTCAGCTGCACCCATAAATAATCATCTTTCACTGCACTGATCAAAGCCTGGTAATAAATACCACGTTAAGCAAATACAATGAGTCTTTGTGCATCATTTCTCCCCTCTTCTGATGCAGACAAGATTGTCATTTTGAAAGCAGTAACAATGCAGCCCAAAAAGCAGCAAGCTCAAACATCTGAAAGGGAAATTGTTTTACAGCTAAGATGCTTTTCAGTGCGCCTATATCAGGATACTGTTGACCAAATTTAAACATCATTTAAAGCAGCATAAAGCTAACCTGAAAAGAAGCAGTCAAATCTTCAGATTTTTGTCTCTATTACGGTCTTAATTTTGCGGGGTGGAAAATATATCTGTAGGCGTTTCCCTAAGTGTCCAAAAGGTGGCGTATGAGACACGTGGAACAGACATTTCAGTCCCGGTAAGACCGCTCATGAGGAGCCCACTACACACTGAGATATCACATAAGAATCATCATGCATGGATCTGAAAAAATACACTGTTAGATTCTTACAGTGGTATCTTTTATTTCCCCATACCGAGGCGTTTCACTGTGTGTCTCTGTGTCTGTGAGTCCTCTGTTGGTTAAAGTAGCTGAAAGGTGTGAGATTCCTGCAGTTTAACAGTGTTGAACGTCAGGAAGCGCTCAAGTTCAAAGTGTCCGAAGAAGTACAGAAAAAAAAGTTTCTTTTGGTAAGTCTTTCTTTCTTATGTTATTTTCTCTCTCTCTCTCTCTCTCTCTCTCTCTCTCTCTCTCTCTCTCTCTCTCTCCTTCGGGCTTGTAAATGTACACACACACACACACACACCACAGGGAAAAATAAGGCAGAATTCAAACTTACACCAAAAAGGAAATGCATTGAGGCAATGTGTAGTGTGGTACAGCAGCATTGTGGTGCTCCTTGATGGAGATGTTGGCGAGTTTTGCTTCACCTTGAACAAAAAAAAAAAAAAAAAGGCGCACAGGAGTCTGAGCTGATGCCATGTTGTGGATGACTTGTGTTGCCAATTCTCTCTCTCTCCCTCTCCCTCTCTCTCTTCTCTCTCCCCCCCCTCTCTCTCTCACTCTCTGTCACTCTCTCCCTCTCTCTGTCCCTCTTTCTCTGCTTCCCCTCCCTCTTCTTTTAGCTCTATGTGACTCTGCAGTTAACAATCAGAATTTCCTCCTGCTGTCTCTTCTCTTTGTAAGTAACTTTCTTATTTCTTATACATGTGATGCATGGCAGTGCTGTTATCGCACTTATGTTGAATGGTGGGGTCATGGTGGATGAGTGCTGCCATGTGTATTGGTATGTCGTTTTTTTTCTGCTTCAAAAGGGCTGCTGCTGATTTATAGAGGTTAACTTTTCCCGTCAGTTGTCTCGCTGTTGTCTTTATATTTGAGCTCTTCTCTGATTTGTGCACGGCCCTATTGTAATTTATTTAGTTTGTTTGACATGTGTGTGGGCCTCCCCCCCAAGCACAGCTGATAATTTAAAACATACGTCCATTCAACGCAGAGAAGTGTCTCATTGTGAAAAGCTTCTGTTTTGGCAAATAATCCCATCCTGTGTGTTCCTTGCAGCCGCTCCACCTTTGGTTTAATTTCAGATGTCAAATGGCTGTTCCCGGATCTGTTTTTAAACATAATATAGGATTTATTTAAATGAATGAAACCGGTCTGACACAATATTACCTGATATGCATCGACGTTTGATGCAACATATTTATTATTTTTGCTATATCTTATATGATAAAAAACTCTTATGGATTTTTATGCAAAAACAAAAAATAATAAAATACACCAGTCTATGAAAGTTTAAAGTTATATATGATGATGGGAAATAACATTTTCTCTCACACCATGTCCCTAATTGTATATATTTTTAAACAATTACACACAATAATCTGTTTAATTTTCTAAAATCGGTCTAATAATTTAAATTTTATGACTGTAAAAAGTGACCATGTCATGAGGACGCGTCTTTTATTTTTGCCACGTTCTCTGAATGTGATATTTTAATTGTCTAATTGATTTATAGACAGCGTGGAAAAATAAACGTTAACCGCTCTGCATGATGCGAAGAATAGTTATGTTTGAGGTACTTTTTAAAGGATAATCTGTCGAAATAATTGTTTTAAAATCTAGAAAAACTGAAGTGCATGATGTGACCTCCAAGCTGAAGACCTCTGGGTTGTGTATAAATCAAAATTTCTTGCTTCTTACGAGATAATTTTTTAAAAAGGAATCATAAGAAAGAACAAGGTTACGTATAGGATCTGTTTTAATTTATGCAAATAAAAGCTGTTGTATCACACAAGTCTAAACTAGTCCCTGAGCCTCTTACAGGGTTTCGCTCACCTGCTCTGCTGATCTCATATCAGCTCAACCTATTTTCCTCTAAAGAAACTGTGATTCTGAAACACTTCATTGAAGTCAGGTCAGTGCGTTATTTGTCTATCTAAGAAAATAAATGAAAACTTCTCAAATACATCAATAAAAGGAAAAGTGCAGAAAAGGTTATCTTTAACTTTGCAGTGCCTGTAAGTGATGTTCAATTTAGGTAAGCTTATTAAACGGACTAAACTGCGGGCAGTTACAACCATCCTCCCTGTCTCCACTTTTATTCCACCACAAATTCTCTCGCTCCCCCCCCCCGTCCTCTCTCTCTCTCTCTCTCTCTCTCTCTCTCTCTCTCCCTCTCTCTCTCGCATCTCTTGTCTGGGAGGAGGAGGGGGGAGTCCTGCCTCTTTGCCTTCCTCAGATCAATGCCCTGGCCACTCACTTTCTGATGTTGCACGACGGGAAATGCTTTGAATACTTGCGACATGGCTGCGCGCATTGATTGCCAAGAGTGACAGCAGCTTTACCCATCGTCTTCTCTTGTCTGAGTGTGAGAGAGAGAAAGAGAGAGATAGAGAGAGAAGCAGATAAAGAACAGATAGGCGAACAACAAAAGGTACTTGTAGTTTTTTGGACAGCTGAACTTCACAAAGAGCATACGGGATCCCCTCATATGGCCCCGTGTGAGCAGACTTAAGTTTTCGCTCAACAGATAGCTCAGTGATCATTTTCTATAAAGTAGTCTAGCAGTCTTTACGCACGGGAAAGGACGCATTAATATCTTCTCCACGGCTCAGATCATCAAGGTAAACAACACGTTTGCTTCACTTTTTCCAACACGCTCTATGTTGTCTTGATATTTTCACCTTGTGTGTTTTTCTTGCTGATTCCTAAAAGTCGAGCGCGCTGTCAGTGAAATGTTCCGGCACTGTCTGTGCGCGCATTTTCTTTTTCTTTCTGCTGCTTTAAAAAACATTTTAAGAAAGTTGTGTAGCCTGTGTGTTCAGCTTACACGGGATTCGCGCATTTCGTAGCGGGGAGAATGACTGTCAAACTTTAATCACTGCGATCATTTCAATCGTCGCTTTCACCAAAACAAGCGGAGAACACGCGAGACGTGGAGTGGCGCGGCGCTGCTGGGCTCTCAGGCGCTCGGGGTTCACGTAAAAAAAACTCGGCAAATCCGCGCTCAATTCAACATCTAACTTCATCAGAAGTGAACTCCAACCACCGTTTGAAGGTTTGAAATCAAATTTTTTTCCTCCTTTTTTCCCCTTCTTCTTTGTTTCTTCCAGCAGCGTGAAAGCCGTGCGAGCGGACGCAGGCTGCACTGTGTAAACTGCAGCGTTAAGACCGAGCCGGACCGCTGTCACCGATAAACATTTCCATTAAAACTTCATTAATAAGTGCTAGGTTCTTACTTAACTGTTCGGTATTTAAATGTTGACAGCGTTTTAGTGATTGTGTTTACATGTCCCGTAACTTTCTTCTGCTGGTGGCAGTTTCGCTTCTGTCCACAAAGCGGTACTATTCATTGACAATGACGTGCGCCCTGGTAGGTTTCCTCTCTCTGCATGTGAGGTGGACAAGTTTATTTGAAGCTCTCGCTCATGTCTCATTATACCTTCAGACATTCCAGGGCTCTTTGCCTCCAAACTATCTCTACCACTGTAGATTTTCTTTGTCAGATTTTATTTTTATGTGAGACACTCTCAAGTCTCTGTCCGCCGTGTAGCCTGGGAATTTTGCTCTTCCTTAACTTTCTCGGGAGGTCAGGGGGATCGACCTCTAAAGAATGCATAAGCCATAAATTAAATTCAACAATCGCTAAGCTTGTCCATTTAGAGAAGATGTACTTGAACAGACAGTTTTCCATTTAAGCCGAAGCATCTGAAAGCTCGGCGCTCCCGGACTGAACAGACAAGAGGTTCTCTTGTAGAAAAAGTGCAAATGTTCTTAATAAGGATTAATTGTTTTCTTGCATTTATCCGGTTGTTGCTGCAAGACAATTCAGAAAATTCATAATCTGGTCCTTAAAATAGAATAATTATTGTTCAGACATTTTTAGAACATAAAATAAAACGTGGTCATTTTCTGAGTGTTGGGTAATCAATTTTTTTTAATACACTGTCCATTAGGAAATATTTATGCTGCACAGACTTTATAAATAATTTTCCAGGTTTATCATAAATGGAAGATTAAGTGAAATATCACTACTTGAACATGATATTGGCAGCGTGTGTTGCGCGGAGATGGCCCCACATTTTAAGATGTTTTCCAAAATTAGACACACTCCCTGTGTACAAAAAAAAACAACCTTCTCAGACGGCTGTGGGAGCTATGATCAAATTTTAATAAGAAGAGACGCAGCTGACAACACTGGAAACTTTATTTTTTTCTAAATTGAATTGTACAGTTGTGTCTTTCTTCAATTTATTAAACACTGAGCCAGTGCGTTTTGTGAGCACACAAATAACACACCTGTGGCTAATTAATGAAAATATAATCATCTCTCACGTGTTCTTTCTTTTAAAAACTCCTCGAACAATAACACACTATTGGGTAATTCTCCAGAGTGGAAAAAGGGAGACACAGTCAACTGTCCTTTTGAGGTGTCTTTGAGTAAAGTTTTTATACTTGTGGTATTTTGTTTTGGACAGTTGCTCTTTGGTGAGCTGTGAACGCAGGTTTCCTCATAAGGTAAGGCGGTTCTGGAGACCAAATGCGAGTCTAAATGGCACATTTATAATTAGACTGCCCATTCAGCACATTGTCCTGATTGCTATACAGGGACACTGGGCTCTGTCTCTATAAGAGTTTGTCTCTGACGGCTTGTGCAGCTCAGCGTGTCGCTCACAAAAAAAAGAGCGAGAGAGGAAAGAGTGAAAAGCGGCATTACAGCCTCTTTGATGGCACAGAACCGCACTTGGCTCTTATTTAACATCTCTCACTTATTTCTGCGCACAAAAGCTACCGGCATCTTAATTAATCACCTTGTTCCTTTATGCATTTCTTTGCAGTTGTTACATACAACTTGAATGTGCGTTTTAATAATTGGAGAAATGAAGAAGTGTTAGATAAATCTGGCAATGTGATCCCTTCAAATCATTTTCTGGTGTTTTATCAATATTGGCCGGGACAGATGTGCTTTTATTCCGCAGTAATTGTAGCTGATTTAAACATTAATTAAAAACTAAAGACTAGCAATTTGTTGGAACGTGATACTTAACACAATTGCAGGGCAATACTTCATATTTATCACATTTCATACTGACTGGCCTTGCGCATTTTCTGTATTTTCAAGGACTAATCTGCGGGTGGATCTCGGGGTGACTTGAGCTTTTTGACAAGACTGAGAAAGGCAACATTTCCCACCTGGGCTCAGCATAAGATATAGACTCGCTGACGCTGATGTGCCAGTAAGTTCAAAGATTTTAGGACTTTCATTTTGGCATGAAGGCAGAAGCCACCTGGCTTGTCTAAACATATCCTGCACTCTGTCCAAGTCCAATGTCTCCCGTGTTGCAAGAGCAACTTTGCTGCTGAGAATCATTTTTTGCCATTATCATACATTGCAGTTAGAGCCTTTTTTTATTATTTGTTTTATTGAGTGGAAAAGAAATGTTGTGAATGAGCCAATCTGAAATTTAGTTTAGACTGAGTGCCATGAAAAAAAAAAAGCTCTACTATTAACTGTCCTGATCATCTAAAGGTAGAATTTGTTTAAACTAAGCTCTTGTGCCAGCAATTAGTGGGATCAAAGAAAAGGCAGGAGAGAAAGAGGGGAGAGAAGGAGGGAGGGAGGGAGGGGGAGAGAAAGAGAGAGAGAGAGAGAGAGAGAGAGAGAGAGAGAGAGAGAGAGAGAGAAAGAGGGAGGGATGGGGGAAAGAAAGAGTAAAAGGGGAAGAGATTCAGAAAGAAATGTGCTTGGCGTGATATTGTTTGAATATTTTTTCTATATCTTACCTTGTATATGTGCACATTGGTTATTGATCATGTGTTTAATGCAGAAGGTAAATCTGATCATTTTGAGTTTACAGCAAATGTTGTTTTCTGGGGATTTTGTTACAACTGTGAATCTACTCAAAAGAAAAAGTCCCTTCATCAGTTTGAGCTCGCAGATCTATGTTAGTTAGTGTAGGGCGTTACATCATTTCACTGCTAAAAATCAAATATTATTTATCTTTACGCCACACAGTGATGCAAAATGAAAGTGCTGGTTTGTGTAGGTTTCATTTTTATGGCCTTGCTCTTCTGCTAACAGTTTTACACAGAGCATTTCCCTTGCCAAACAGAATTCCTACAGAATTACAACCAATTCTAACTCATGATAAGATGATTTCACAGTCAGAGAATATTATATCAACACAATTCTACAATGGGAGTATAAATAACAGTAGTGTGTTGTCATTTGCAATGTTACAAACAATATTAAAAAAATATATGTAATACTGTATGTAGAGGCTGCATCAATCCAGAACTTGATATTTTAAATTCTTGCAAAACTGTAATTGTTTTATTATTGTTTTGTATTGTGTGTGTGTGTGTGTGTGTGTGTGTGTGTGTGTGTGTGTGTGTGTGTGTGTGTGTGTGTGAGCCCCTGTATGCCTTAGCATGTGTGCATGCATGAGTGATACTCTCCTTCTCCCAGATATTTTGCGGAGAATGTCTTTACACGGATAAACACCAATGTTGATTTTGATTTGAAACGTCAAAATCCAAAAAGCCTCTCTGTCTCTCCTGACCAGATGTGATTTAGGGTGCGTAACTGAGACCTTACATATTGCGTTATCTGTCCATATATACTGCGTTTTGCAAAAAGACAGCTAGTTTGTTCCAAGTGACAGGACGCTGCTGGGATGCGGGCAGGGTGAGTGAAGCTGTAGGAGAGAGGGTGGGGGGGGCAGTTGAGGGGTGCACAGGTACTACTCTCCCTCTCTTTGTGGTAGTGGAGGGAGCGGCTGAGACCTGATGATAAACAAGATGAGAGGAGGTAAACAACAGCAGGCCTGGTAAAGGTGGAGGAGGGGGGCAGCAGATGTTGTGACATCTGTCTATCTAATTGTTATCTAATTTGCTGTAGAATATTTCAACAATAATCAAAACTGATGGGAATATTCCATGGCAGGTTTTTTTTTGTAATTTGTCCCCTTCAACAAGAAGTTTCTGACAAGTTAGTAACATGTCACTTCTGTCATGATACTTGAGATATTATTAGGCAGTGCACAGTATTAAATATAATGGATGCATGCATGCATGCAGTGACAGAGATCTTGCCCTCCTCTGTACACCAATGGAGCATTTTGTAGGGTAGAGCGGGTGTTGACGACAGTGTTCTTCGTGGCTTAGGGTGCAGATGCCTTCTGTCTGAATTAGGTGAATTTGTGCTCCTACAGGAGGAAAATTGTGTCTTTTCTCAGTCTGCACCATTGTCACTTCTGTTAGAGGAGAAATTAGAAATTCTGATGAAATCAGTGGTGAACTGAGTCATCCAGAGCAGACAGTGGGGCATCACCTCCACAAAGTCACTGTCCTAACAGAAAAGCTGTGAAAAAGCGAAGCCAGACAGATTATTAGGAGTAATACACTGGTATAATACATCTGTTAATCTCAAGCTTTTACATTTTGAATTTCATCCAGCTTTGGGTTTTAATTTGCAACAATATGATTGAGAGAGTTTTTCTTAAGATCACGTTTTACCTTGAACACTGTTTCCTCTAATGTCAAAGATTATATTTGAGTACATGTTATTTTGTATTCAGAAACAAATAGCACCTATGTGCGGCAACACTTACTGAACATTAACAAGGGCAGGGGCTGTTTTTTTCTGCTCTATTAGATCTCTGTGTCCCTCTGGCTGCTGTAAGTGAACAGTATTGCTAACATTAAAGGATTACAGATGAAAAAAAAATGTGTATCTTCACAGGAACTGCATAATTGCACAAGTAACCTAAGTGGCCCATTTTGATCTGTATCATTCACTCTCCCACCGAAAATGTTTTTCTAAAAATAATTGGACATTTTCTTTTAGTCCATAGCATAGTTGTGAATAATTAACTTTGACTTCAAAATGCAACAGTCCAGGCTATGGTAAGCAGCCGCTGTTGATTTTTTAAAATCACACATTAATATGTAGAATTAATTGGAGGGGCCTTGGTGGCTGCATGTTTCTCACACAGGTCTGGAACTGTAATCAGGTGGAGGAATTAGTCGGGCTCATTGTTTTTTATGAATCAGATGAAGATTTGTACAGTGGCTGTGTGAAGATGGTTGCCTTTATTTCCATATCAAAGAAGCACACAGTGCAGCCGGGCAGTAATTAAAATGTGGTGGATTTTGGAGTCCCTGCATATGTGTACACACACACACACACACACACACACACACACACACACACACATTTTCTCTCTCCCTCACACTGGCATGGGGACATGCTCTCTCTCTCTCTCTCTCTCTCTCTCTCTCTCTCTCTCTCTCTCTCTCTCTCACACACACACACACACACACACACACACACACATACACACACAACATATGGACCAAGGCTGAAAACTGTCAGGTTGTGTGAAAAGAGTGCAGGTGGTTGAAACTGAATTTTAAACAAACACTCATGTTGCTCCATGTTCCCTTCGCAGACATTTGTATTCAGAATCCAAAATCAGTTTTTTGTGGCAACCATTTTGTTAGCTACAGTTTGAGAGAGTCGTGAATAAATTTTCTTTTTTTTTTTTTTACTTTGACTTGTTAACAGCTTTCACTGACTGCAGTCACACTAACCTTTAATTTAAGTCATAGAGAAATTATATATATTTATCAAACTATCCACTTGTCATAGAGAAATAGATATATAGTACATGTACTGTATGTATGAGTGACCTTGCTGCAGAATGCTCGGATTATTTTAAAAAAAAAAAAAGAAAGAGGAAGAAGCTGTGATCTTTTGCCTTGAGTGATTTCTGTCCTACTAGAATTGGAGAAGCTCTGAAGACTTGAGATTGTGTCTTGTGAGTGAACAAGGGAAAAGAGATTAGTGTAATGTGGGCTTTTGCGCTGCTCACACACAAAAGCATCACAACAAGCCTTTTCCTTGTGATCCCCCCCATTGTGCTTGGATCAAGTCTCATGGGCAAGCCACTGCCTTGGAGGAAGTGTTAAAGGACTCTATGAAAATATCACTTGAGCCAACATGGGCAGCTGTGACACTGAGAGATTTCATGTGTGTTTTAATGTGAAAGAAGGCCTAAAAAACCTCTGCCTCTGATAAGGGAGAAGCAGCGCATACTGTATTTGAATTTCTCATTTTTTATGAATAACCCTATAGCAGGAAAAAAAAAAACACTCATGAATTATTTCAACATTTATGGGTTCTGTACAAGTCACAAGGTTTGTATCATTTAACCTATTTAAATTGAAAATATAACGGATCCGGTTTTACAAAGTTATGTATTCCATAAGTCTTAGAAGGCAGTAGTTATTTTTGTATCCAAGTTACACAGTCTGTAAAAGCTGAACGATTAGACATTATCCAGTTGGTGGAGGTTGACAGCCGGCTCGGTATCTGCCAGCTTGATCTGACATGAGATGTAAAATATGCTCCATAGCTGTGACTAAGCCAGCCAATCTGGCTTCTTTACTCCGTGGTCCAGCCTTTAGGATGCTGGGAGCCGTTTTGTTGGCACACGACTGTTTTCAGATCAGATCGGCAACTTCATTTCTGTGTTTGTTTGGACATAGTGTAGATTTGTGCATGTGTGCACAATGTTGAGAGATACTGTATTTGAACACATGATACCGTGTGGTATCTTTGGCATGCACTGAAGTGACATGGCCATGATGAGCAATTTTGCCATAATGTGGTACTTAGATCCATGCTGCAGAAGGCTGTGTATTCGATTGACAAGTGGAGTATTACTACAATACCCACAAACTTGACTTGACCTGAGGCACCATATCTTGCACATTTACAATAATTTTAAATCTGGATTAAAACCTAAATTCAGTTTTAATTTGTTGATGTCATTACATTTTGCAGACAGAACTCAAAACATAAACATACTTTGTCTTTGCTGTCGCTGAATTTCAAGGTATCCAGATAGTGTGTGTCAGCCCTCTTGGATGGAAATAAAATACTGATCGACCGCTTGCATCATGGAGCAGCTACTGTGACATCTAAAACAGGCGAGGAAGTTATGGAAAAGAAAGGACGTATTGGGCCAGAAATCAGATTCCCAACAGTTTTTCCTTTGGAAAATGCTAATGTACGATGCCAAAAATAAATCAAAGTGACAAAGAAGGAGGGTGGAGGAATAGATGGAAATGGTCTTGTGGCTAAAGTTTTGATGAAGTTAACCATAGCATCTCTTCTTGCCCAGGTCTTTTGTTTCCTTTCTGAATAATTTCTTTTTACATTAACTTGGAT